CTCTGGTATCCTGTCCACCCTATCTCCTTTCGTCCTGTGTTCTTCTCACTGGGACCTCTTCCTTGCTGGCTTCGTCCCCTGCTCTGCTGTCCCTGCTCTGCTTTGTCTGTGCCTCAGCATCCTCTACTTGACCCCTTGTGTCCTGCCTGCTACCGAGGCAAAGGAAGGGAGATCTGGTCCACGTGGCTGTACCACAAGGGAAGTGTTGCTTGTAGCGAGCTGGAGCAAACCTAACGTGAGGGGCGCAGATGAGGTATTGGGCATAGGACAAGATTTTAAATCTTTCACATACTGTATTTAAGAAGAATACTTCGGAGCAAGTGTTGTGTGTTGTGATGGTGCAGAGCCTGTCATCAGATCGTGTGGTGTGGAGGGCTTGGGTGTAGGCCAAGGCTGTTGGATGTCAAATGGTTGTTGACAAAGGGCTGGAAGGAAGGGAGTGCCTCTAAAGCCAGTCTTGCTGCAGAATCTGTTCATGTCACCAGCATGTCCTGTCTGTCCTTCAGTAAAGAAAAGATTGATTTTTTTTTTTAATTCTTCTAATGAGTTCTTGATAGATTTCTGCCTTCTTTTCTGCTATAAGTAAACAAACTTTCCATGTAAGATTCATTCTTAAATTACACCTCAAAAATCCATAACCTGTTGTTTGAGAGAATTATTGAAGAAATAGAGAGGCAGTGGTTAAAATACTGTAATGGCTGTCAGGAATGTAATGGCACACCTGTTACATTTTTGATTTAAATCTTTAAATCGGATAGTCTTTGATAAAATACATACTTGTTGAATTAAGGTTTGTAGCCACGTACATTGTCTGTTTAAATTGAAATGCCTAATTAGCATTTTAAACAGTAACGTCATCTGCAGTACACTTACTAAATAATACAATTCCTTCTTATAATCTTTTGAGGTGTTGAGATACTGCTTGCAAGACTGTCATGTCTGAAGGGGAATAAATATGAAAGATGGCCTTTAGCCTTGGGAAATGAGGTTTTTTCTGTCACTTTCTATTACCAGTGAAGAAAGATTCAAAAATCTGAATCCCTGGGGGTTGATGGGAGAAGTCACCTTTCTCTGTTAATGGTAGCCCAAGCATCCCTGATGGTTACCCTATCTGGACTAAAGTTAGGCTGTGAATTTGCTCCCTATGTTTGTATGTTACGATTCAGTTAGCTAAACCATTTCCAAATAAAAAATAATACACACCCCCACCCTCCCCCCAAAAAACCCCAAACAACAAAAACAAAACTCACAATCATAACCAGCTTGGATAAACAGGGAACTCTTAAGACAGCTCCAGTGCAGCTCAACCCATACATGTCCCTCTGACCCAATGAAAGGCATCTGAAGGTTCTGAGAGAGTTGGCTGATGTCATTGCAGAGATACTGTCTATCCTCTTTGGAGGATCATGAGGACTGGGGAGAAGGTCTCCATTAACTGGAAAAAAGCAAATTGTGCACCCATCTTGAAAAAGGATGAGAAAGACAATGCTGGGAAGGCAGTCAATTTGCCTTATCTCAGTCGTTAGGAAACTCGTGGAGTTGGTTCTCTTGAACTTATTTCTGGGCATGTGAAGGAGAAGGTAACTGGGAATAGCTAGTGTGGATTTACCATGGGTAAATAGTGCTTGACAAGCATGATTGCCTTTTATGATGGAGATGACTAGAGTGACGTTCTTCAAGGTTCATCTCGTGTAATATCTCTATCGGTGGCCTAGAGAGAAGATGGAATACACTCATCAAGTTTGCCAACAACACCAAACTAGAGGGTGCAGTCAATATGTGTGAAGACATATTCAGTAGGACTTAGGACTTAGTCTGGAGGGATGATTCTGATAGGAATCTCTTGAAATTCAAGCACAAATGTTAAGTCTTGCTCCTGGAATACGCTAACCTCCTGCAGTGGTACTGGCACCTGGATGGTGATGAAGACTAACACCATACTGGACTGCGTCAGTAAGAGCACAGCCAGGATTTTGAGGGAAGAGATCATTCCCCTCTGGCACTTGTTGGGCTTGGTTAATATTGTTCCTTAGTTCTTCCATCCACAGAGTGGGGATAGTCCATCCTCTTTGCCACGCTTTCTCACCCATTTAATCCTCAGTATTGAAATCTCTAGTTCTGCCTCTGAGCCTATTTAGTGTAAATTTGTGTCTTGTCAGAGTCAGAAAGTTAATAGTTTTCCAGATCGCTTACATTGTGCACACATGCTCCCTGTCTCTTAGGTCCCTGATCTCCAGCTGCACTGCAGTACAAATGTACTTTGGTACATTCATTTCTTTCTGCTTTAGCTAGCAAATCCGTTAATGCAAGTTAACTGTAGTCGGGGCTGTTACCTGTTTATTACAAGTTTTCAGTGTCTTACCCCCATAAATGTTTTTGCACTGAAAGGCTTTTCCTGAAATATCACTAGTTGCAACTGTTGACCAATTTGCACGCTCATGTTCAAAGAGAGGTGACAAGTGCTATCTTCCCCTTTGCCAGAGATGCTCTGTCACCATGCTGGCTCTCTTTCCGATGATTGGTCTCTTGGGTAACTTCATAGACAGTAGTGCAGAACAAATTGTATTTGTGTCCTTTTCTCAAATGAAAAGTAAAACTTGAAGTAGTCCTGGAGTTTTTGACCTTTTTGTTATAAGTATTTAAAGGGACATGGGTAATCTGTGAGATGACAAACTGAGAGGGCTTCTCCTCTGGCTTGTTTGTTCTGTACGCTTCACTGTGTTTTGGACACAGTAGTTTTCATCGATAAGTGAGCTGAAAACATCCTTTCACATGCTCTGTGGGGAGTTTTGGGGTGCAGATACACCAACTGATGAAGGAAGCTGAAAAGGGAGACAAATACTGCAAGCACTGAAGAGAAAAGTCAAAATACAAGGGATATAAATAGTTGTTTAGGTTTTGTTTTTTATTGGACAGCAGCAGTGGAGTTTACCAGTGCATTAAGTTAGTAGGCAGTAACTCATATGGCATCTGTCAGGGTTTGCTCTATAATCACTTTACATTATGTAAAAGCTTGCCATTAGCTGACCTTCAACCTCTTCGGGGATTGAACAGTTATTTCCCTCCTGCACCAATGTCACTTGCAGTTTCTTTAAAGCTTGCCTGTTCCTAAAACCACTTTAATTTTGATTCATCTGGGGATTAGATCCACTGTGAAATAATAATAATTTGAATAATTATTGTTGCTTTCAAGAACTTAGAAACTGTTTCTCCTCAGCTGAATTCCTGGATTTAAGTGTTGTGGGAAATTGTGTAGTGATGCGCAACACTTCCGTATTCACAACTTGTGCAGATTTATTTCAAACACTAGCATTTTTGTAACTTTTGGGAGTAGAGACTGTGACATTTTGAGTTAAGTCTGTAACAAAGTAACTTAAAGCTGAGCACTTCCAGTTCACATGCTGTAAACTAATTCATTGTTCAGTGGATGGTTATATTTTGTAGTGGACATTAGTGCTGCTTCTGTCAGGATTTCCTGCGGGGAAGCTGAGCAAATGAGAAAAGGCAACAGTAAGCTGTTACAGTTTTGAAATGGAACTGTGACCGAGGTTCTTCCTATCTCCTAGTTGCTGTAGAGAACAGGGCTGTAAATGCTTCTAATTTATCACTCTGGTGCACTAATTTTCCACTGTGAATGCAAGTAAAACTGAGATTTATTTTTTTTTAAATTGTAGTATCACAGGTTTGCTGTGAGTTGTTTTGCTTTCCCTTTTTATTCATGTTTCTAGTTTGCAGCTAGGTTTTTGGGGGATATGATTTTTTAACATATAACTTCAAATTATATTGTATTTTCCACTCCAGACAATTTAGCAGGCTGTTACTGCTAAACCTTCCAGTACTTAAATTGTTTGTTGCCTTGTTTTAAATTTACATTGCCAAATTTTGATGGCACAAGTGCTGCCTTAACAGAACTGTTAGTGACTGTTGGAAAAGCACAATGCAGCACACGCAGTTGTGTTTGCACAAAGCAAAGAATAAACCTCTGTCTGTGAGTGTTCATTGATTTCAATAGGCTTTTCAGTAGCTCTGCATATTACAATTCTTAGCACCTAGAATACATTAATATTCATTACAGCAGTACAGTTCAGCCCCTGCTTGTGACTTGATTTATTTTTTTTTAAATTATTTTTTTCCCTATCCCCTCTTCTACTGGAGCAGGAAGTAGAATTATTTTTCTAGTCCTGATAACGTGTTCTAGATGATGTTACGGCTCTTTTCTCAGAATGATTGAAAATGCATCTTTTGGCTTCTTCCATCTTGTAAGAAACATGTTAAATACTAGAAATACTTAAAGCTTTTTGGAATCTTTCATGATGACCCTTGTGGCTATTGAGACTGTGAGGTGCTGGGCATGTATGGCATGCAATCGTTTGTATGAACAATTAGTGGAAGAACTAATTGGTATGTAGTAGTGCCATCTTTTAAAAATATCAATACTTCTTTATTTGAATGTATGGAGGATGGGAGGGGGTTAGTTCTTTGGATGCTGGAAATCTGTTTAAAATGCTTTTTTTGTTTGCTTGTAACTTGGCTTTATTATTTGAACGCTCATTTAAACCAAATGGTTTTCGGTAGTCTTAATGCCCATATTTTACTGTAGGAAATTGTACTTATCTGTCTCTTGAGTTTAGACTTACTGATGTAATGTGTGTTTTTCACTTGCGCACATAAACAAAAATAGTCTGCTTGAAAATAATATTACAAGAGTTTAGCAAATAATTCCTGTTTCAGTCACTCACAGCAAAATCTAAAATCAAGTGTGATGTTCCTTACTCTTATCTCTAATGTACAATTAACATTATTACAAAATGAAACAGGTTCTTAAAACAACAAGAAAGTACATTTGGCAGTGTGAATTAGTTGGACCCCTATGTTTGAAAGACTTTGTGTTTAAGATACTTAACCTGATATCCCAACAATGAGAAGTTCAAACAGCTATTTAGTTTGAGCATTTTATTAATGCATTTAATATGTTAATATATGACATATTACCTTTGTAGATGAACCGACTAGTCCTAGTATTGACCATGATATTGCACACATTCCTGCTTCTGCTGTTATTTCTGCATCTGCTTCTCAAGCACCTGCTATAACAACTGTTCCTCCCAGTCCTACATCTCCAATCCCTTTAATTCGGCGACAGCTTTCACATGATCATGGTGAGTGTTGATTTCTTTTTCTTTTTCTCATGCAACCTTTTGCTTTTAAACTCTGGAGAACAGGAGTGAAAATTTTAAACTAGTGCGTGAAATAAATTGCAAAAATGTGATTCAGGTTCTTACGTACTCGAAAATTTCTATTTGGTTGTAGAATCCATCCGGCCTAGTGTCCTGGATAGCCAGCCTGCCGCAAAAACTGAGAGATCAAAGTCATATGATGAAGGACTGGATGACTACAGAGAAGAGGGAAAATCGTAAGTTCATGAAAAATATCAGTTAATTTGGAGGTTTGTTTTTTAAAGTGTATAAAATCTCATTTTAACATTTGTTTTTCTCCCAACAGATCCATTAAGCATGTATCTAGTTTAAAGGGGATTAAGGTAGGTATATATGTGTATAACAACTCCTAAGAATTACACATACCAGTGTGCCAAGTTGTATGAATTTTACAAAGTGATGTGTTAAACGCAGACATGAAGTTTATTGGAATTGCTACTCATAAAATTGTTCTTAATTTTGATTGATTTTGATATTTAAATTGATTCTATTGTTTTTCCTCAATTGGTACGGTATGCATTGCATAAGTAAACATGGTCTCTTTTTTCTAGGCTCACCACATGGTCCTTGATTTTTTTTTTTGTTTTCCTCAGCCTCTGTAAACAAAGCATATCTATGGCATGCTTTTGTAAAAATTTACTAATGAAAGCCTAAGACTCCTGCAGTTTCTCAAATTATTCTTGGGATGTATAAGGTACTATCGTTGTGTGGAAACTTCAGAAGTTATATTTTCCCAGGGGGATATTTTTTAGGGGCTTTTTGCTGAATGAGGTGTCAGCTTTTAAAGAGAGAAACATTTTGAATGTAGGGATTGTAGAGAAATGTCTTTAGAAGTACCCTAGTACCCTGTGGGGTTCTTTCTGTGATGTTTTCTTTAGGTCCCAGACAGCCAGAAATCTTCAGAAGACTCTGGTTCCCGAAAAGATTCTTCTTCAGAGGTCTTTGGTGATGCCTCCAAGGAAGGATGGCTCCATTTTCGTCAGCTTGTTACAGACAAGGGAAAGGTACCTGTCATGTTTGTTGTTTTAACCTAGCACAAATACTAAGCTGGTGGAAACCTAAGATAAGAAACGTAAAGCCTTTTTGGTTTTTTTATTAAAATTTTTGGGATGTAAGCAGCAATAAGACTGACAGAATTTTAGACCTATTAGAATGTTGACTTCAGTGAATTCCTCAGCTTCTTTGACAGAGTGCTTTCTGAACTGTCTTCTGAACTGATAGGACAAGAGGAAATGGCCTCAAGTTGTGCCAAGGGATGTTTAGATGGGATATTAGGAAAAATTTCTTCACTGAAAGGGTTATGATGAACTGGAACAGACTGCCCAGGGAAGTGGTTGAGTCACCATCTCTGGAGGTATTGAAAAGAAGCGTAGATGTGGCACTTTGGAACATGGTTTAATGATGGAGTTGGCAGTGTTAGGTTTATGGTTGGACTCGATTTTTTAAGAGTCTTTTCCAACCTAAATGATTCTATGATTCTGTGATTCTAATTTTACATTTCAAAGCATCTGTGAAGTAAACTCATTTCCAATGACTTATTAAGTGGTAAGAATCAGTCCCTTGATGATTGTAGTTTGAAAAAAGCTCTGATTTTTGTGAATGTTGTGGAGTTGAGTTCAAATTAACCTTCTGCACAAGTATAGATTAAGACAAGGAAAATTGGGAGTCTGGAATTGCAGTGGTGTATAAATGTGAGTCTGACTTGAATGAAGTTTAAAAGGCATGTGCAAGAGCCCACTATAAAAATTTTTTACTATATTTGTATTAATGCCACTGTGAAATTCTAGTCACATTCTGTTTCTTGCTACTGTCGTGTGTGAACACAGACCCAATGGATGATCTGGGAGGGCAGGCTATCGAGCAGTTCACTCCTCTAATGAAGAGAAATTTGTGTGCTTTGGTGTAGTTTTTCATAGGTCATTGTTAAGAATGGTATAGGTAGGTGGTTAGTCTTCTTTTTAAAACTTCTGGAGGTAGTTTTTTTTAAACCCAAAACATTAATTATAACAAATAAGCAAACTAACATATCAGTTGATGTTTTTCAGCGAGTTGGTGGGAGCATTCGGCCATGGAAGCAATTGTATGTTGTTCTTCGAGGTCATTCACTTTATTTATACAAGGATAAAAAGGAACTAGTGACCCCGTCTGAAGAAGAACAACCTATAAGCATCAATGCTTGTTTGATAGACATCTCATACTGTGAAACCAAGAGGAAAAATGTATTTAGACTCACCACATCAGACTGCGAGTATCTGTTTCAAGCTGAGGACAGAGATAATATGTTAGCATGGATTAAAGCAATACAAGACAACAGCAACTTAAATGATGAGGTAATCGTATCATATATAATGCAGAAGCCACAGTTCTTGTCTTTTAATTAAAAATTGATTGTATTTTCTTGTAAGTAATACTTCAACAAAAGAAATCATTTGCTATTAAGCAATAGACAAAAATGTGTACAGGAACATGCAAGAAAACGAGGTGAAAGACAAGGTAACTGAGTAAATAAATAGAGTTTAAAAAAGCCTGACATACTAATAATGAGAGAGAGTAGACTTTTGAAAAATGAATTAATGTTGTTGCTGATTTGACTAAAGATACACTTTAGAGATTTTTGACAGATGTTTAATATCTTTTTTAAAAGATAATTGCAGTATTAGAACCAGTGTGTTCTGTCTTCAGACTTGCATTGCAAAGTGGTGTGTACAATGGCACAAAGTGATGACTTTCTCAGTAGTTAAAAAGTGAAGCTTGGAGGGATGCCTGCTTCTCTGATTAAATGGCGATGTTTCTGTGAATTAAATGTTCGTGCTAATTATGGAAGGCAAACATATACTGTTGTACATAACATACCAGTATCTGTCCCCATATTGCCCTCAGTGCATTTTCATTTCAGTGATGAGCAACAGAGGCAATTTTCATGTCTGTGGTCATGCACATCTGCTCAGATTTGAAATAATTATCCAAAAGAAAATGGATTAATAAACATTATTAGACAGATGGATAAAAGCACGTTTGAATTCATGGCTGTTCCAGCTGTATGTATAGTAGTAATTAGTTATATAAGTACTGTGCGCACATAGGATTGGATTTTTCAGAGTAGTAGGGTGTGTTGACTTGCATGTTTCCTATTTAAAGTTACTTTCAATTGAACAGGATTTAATCAGATTGTATTGCTTTGGAAAAAAATCTAAACAGCAGCACTTAATTTGTAATTACTCTCTTTAGTTTTTCTCATGTTTTTTAAATGTTCTGTCCTTATTGTTCTCAAGGACTCGCTGTTAGATTTATTTTTTTTTGACTGTACTGAAATGTTAATTTTCATATGTGGTCTGTTGACAGGAAGAGTTAGTTGTATTCTGAAAGTAAACAACACTTGTTACATTTTGTAAGATTGTAAAGTAGATCTCCTTTTGTTTTATAGGATACTGGTGTCACTAGTAGAGATCTAATTAGTCGAAGGATTAAAGAATACAGTACAATGATGAGGTAGGTGAATTATATGCTGCCGGTAGTTCTTGTAGACTTCCTGTAGAACTACTTTTTACTGAAGTAATATGTCTTGTTTCAGTTCTTCAAGCAGCAAAACAGAGCCATCTCCCAAAACACCTCGCCAGAGTCTAAGTATCAGACAGACTCTGCTTGGAACTAAAGCAGAACAAAGGACCCAGAGTCCACATTCTCCTAAGGATGAGTCTGAAAGAAAGCTTCTCACTAAAGGTCTGCATGTGTTGTGTATTTCTTTAGTTCCTTATAGCTCCACTGTGGGGCGACCAAGGTTCCTTTCTCATGCTTTTCGAGCTCATGCAAACCAAGTATTAATCAGGTTTGGTTTTTTAAGTTCCAGCTATAATCACCCATTTCTCCTAACTACTTCGTTTAGATGTTATCTTAGATGCACTTCAGGTCTTCTCAGATCCATGAAGCTTTTTATTCCAATCCTCTCTCAAAAGGGTTTGTTTTGGTTTTGGTTTTTCCTACAGCTCCATGTAGTGTTAGCAGTATTAAAATACAGGTCTTGTGCTTACTTGTGACCAAAATTTCGTAAGCTTTGGAAATAATCTTGTGTGTAATTCATACTTTTGTCTCCGGCTGACTTGGAAATAACAATGTAAATTAATATTTTAAATATGCTGTTAAGAAACCAGAGTTTTCCATTCAAGTGTTTTAGAAGTAGAGAATAACATTATTTTTTTCTTAATCTGTAAAATATGTGAGAGGAACTACACTATCTTTTCCAGAACAAAATTACTGCCTGCTGAGTTTTAAAAGAATCCAATGAGCTGGCACTGCAAACTTAAATGAGCAACTGATCTCCATCAAATAATGTCACAAGCTACTTTTTTTTTTCCCCAAAGAATGTGTAAATGTATGGTATTTCTGATCAGACTGTGCGTGTAAGGTTGTTGCATACAAATTCAGGCAACTGGCTGAGCAATCACTTTTGATCAACCACTTTTGAACAATTCGGTCTTGAATTTAAGCTGTGAGTGAATTCTGTTTTATTTTACTAACAAATATCCTTTTGCTCCTGCTGTGATACAGATGATGCAACTAAATAGCAGATGTTAAGTAAATGTCAAATCTGCTGAAAGAATATTTCCAGAAATACTTGAATAAGAAGGAAGTACTATTGTATTAGGCATCTTGCAGTACCGGATAAATGGGAATTGTAATTGGCTACGTGAACTGTATAGAAGATATAAACAGAGCAAGTGAACTTTTTATCTGATTTTTTGATAGATAATACTTTTAAGTGCTTGAGTCCTGTTTGGAATGATTCAGTAGTGACTAAAACCTGGTAATTTTTGAAAGAGTGAGTAGACCTGCACAAGTGTGAGCATGGCTGTACAGTTTCATAGGTATTTTGTGCAGCACTGTGATTCAGTAGAGACTTAATCTTGTTTTACTAAATGTAGATTTTCTTTTTTTTTAAATTAATTTATGTACCTTTAGTCTTAGAATGATGAAATTCCACAGTATCACCCAGCTACTTGCTTTTCAAATTTGGGATGTGAGTATGTTCAAATGTATCTTTTGAATCACAGAAGAGTAAAGAAGGTGTGTCTAAGACAGACTAATATTTAGTGAGTTATTGTAGGAACCTGGGCCAGTAAAAGAGGTAGAAATTCAGTAGGTGTCACTTGAGCTCTGCAGATCTGTTACCCGTATTCACAGTAGTTTTTGTGACTTAAATGCTCTTATTTTTCTTTATTTCCTTGTTTGCATTATACTAACACAAAAAGATGAGACAAGCCCACCAAAAGACAAGGGGACGTGGAGAAAAGGCATTCCAAGCATTATGAGGAAGACATTTGAAAAGAAGCCGTCTGCTGTAGGAACATTTGGTGTTAGACTAGATGACTGCCCCCCAGCTCATACCAACAAAGTATGGAAGGACAATTTTTCTTTCCATTGTGATTTTAAAATACTTTTTGTGTGAATTACTTTAAAATGTATATATAACTTTTCTTTTTCTTCAGTATATTCCACTGATTGTTGACATATGCTGCAAACTGGTTGAAGAAAGAGGTCTCGAGTACACAGGTATTTACAGAGTTCCTGGAAATAATGCTGCCATCTCAAGTATGCAAGAAGAGCTCAACAAAGGAATGACTGACATTGATGTCCATGATGATGTAAGTCTTTGATCACACTATTTCCAGGTTGAACTCCCAAAAACTTCTGGTTGTGTTGTGATTATAGAAATATAAAGCATGTCTGTCCTTTTCTTCTAAATGTGTAGAAATGGCGAGACTTGAATGTGATAAGCAGTTTGTTGAAATCCTTCTTCAGAAAGCTCCCAGAACCTCTTTTTACCAATGGTAAGTTGTTTACGTTACGATTTTGTCTTTAGGAATTATTGTTGAACAGTTATCTTGCATCTTTCAGATGATTTGAGAGAAAATCCAGTGGAATCATCCTAACTAATAAATGCCCTCTTTGTTCCTTAAAGAGCAGGGAGTCATGGTGATCATAGAGCTTAAAAATGAGAGCTGTAAATAGAATTTCTCTGATGGTGAAGGAATTATGAATGTGCAAAAAAACTGAGTATAATTTGCAATTCTGTTTTCAATATTCTGACAGCTGTTTTTTTCCCCCCATTGCCATCTTACTAAATTGTATGCAATATAATGGGCTAATTTAACTTCCAAAGGTCATTCATATATGTATGTTACCAGTATTCACAGGGAGTGGGGGGTTGGGGTGTAAATATACATAGTATATACGTACATATATATATGTATATATAAAAACTTATATATAATGTATGATTAATTTCTGCTTTTTTTAACAGACAAATATGCAGATTTTATAGATGCCAATAGAAAAGAAGATCCTGTTGAACGTCTGAAAACACTGAAGAGACTGGTAAGCTGAAATCAGGTGTGTTGTAGGAGCACTACAAAATTAGCATTAAATGTTTGATGTTCTGAATAGTGATTGTTTGTTTCAGATTCATGATTTACCTGAACATCATTATGAGACTCTCAAGTTTCTTTCTGCACACCTGAAGACAGTAGCAGAGAACTCAGAAAAGAACAAGGTATCAGAAACAAAAGTATAATGTATTTTGGTTTGTTTCATTCATTAAATACAGGATTATTTCTATTAAGGTGATAATTTATTATAGTAGATAAAATTAAGATCTTTGCTATCTCAAAAGATTTTTGGATTACACTAAGGACTCCTGCAAAATATGCACCTGTTTAGTGTGAAATAAATTTATTCAAAGTAGTATTAATTCTTGTGGGAATAACTGCTTACATACTAAATCTATCACAAGTCTGTAAATTTCATATAATCCCATCTAGACACAAGTAAGAGTGTGCCTGGACAGGACACAGGTAAATGTCTGTGACCTGAATGAACCTGTTGCCAGAGGTTGTCACACCAGCCTTGTGTGAAGCTTGGCTTCCTGGACACTTGAGTAATTTTTAAGACTAGGGCTTGATGTAATTACTTGAATGTTTGACCCCGGAGATGCTGGTTTGGCTGGTTTTAAGAAAGAAAATTGATGATGTAAAGGGTGGTAGTTCACCACTATAGGGTCTTAGTCCACCACTAAGAATATCTTTTTGTCATTTCCATGGGGTGGGGAAGAGTTAGTTTGCATTAAGTGCTTCTGTGTATGCTATAATCCCACAGTAAATGCAAATAATAGTGTCCCCTCTTTTTACCTCTCAGGGAGGGGTAGCTGAATGCAAAGCTGTGCACAATACAGGTGTGCTTATGGATGCTTGCCTCAGGGCAGGTAACATGCTGCCTTGTTACTTGGCTACCAATGTGCAGGGTACAGGAAAAAAATTGATGTGATTGATGCTATATAGAGGAATCTATGGCCAATCTTAAATCCTCTAAAAGATCAGAAAATTACTCAATTCAAATGAATATGGTAGGTTCCAACATCAGTTCTGCAAATAATACTTTATAGTTAAATATGAAAGAAAAATACGTGTGCATGTGTATATAAAAATATTTAACAAATTATAACCTTTAGTGGAATTACAGCTACACTATAAGGAAATAATAGTAAATGTAATTTTTTAAGTGCAAAGTAAACCTTTATTTATCACTGTATGGTTTAGGCATGCCATATAAATGTTGTTTAAATGATGTTAATGATATAGAATACGTAAGGCTAGATGAGTGAGGTGATACTATAGTTGTATGACTTGTCAAAGGCCACAATTGAAGTCAAAGTGAGCATTAGGGGCTTGTGTCATGTTTGCAACTTTCTTCTGGTAAGCACAAGGACTTTGCCTCCTATATATTATTGGTCTATTCTATGTCACAACAGTCTAAGTCAGAGAAGTAAGCAAAAATAGAAGGTAAGTATTCTGCTGCTGCTTTCTTGGAATTACAAGTCAGAGATGTAACAACAAAGTAAAGTAAGTGGACAACTCATGTTGTGACATGATCAGATAACTCTGAGTCTGTCTCATGAATAGATGTGTTGGATCTGTGATGCTGGTTGCTGCCGCCTCCTCCAAAGTAGTTGCAGATTGAATGAGCTCTTTGTGAGCAGACATAATACAGTATTTGATTACCAGCTTAATTTTTTCATGTGTCATGTAAACATTTTCAGGAAAAAAACCCCAGGGAACTACCAATGCTGCCTTATAAAAAAAAAATAAATTCTTAAAACATGAATGTGTCTAAACAAAAGGCTTTATGGGAAGTAAAAAACCTCCAAACTGAAAGTGTAAAGAATATATCTGAGTTCTTGAGTTTTCTGTGCTTGTGGAGCTTTTTACTTGCAATGGGTTAAGGAGGGTTGAATTCTTAATGGCAGAAATGTTGGATGCATTTATTGCAGCTGTGTATAGGAGAGTTTTAGTATAGTGTAACATCCTTCCTGAGTCAGTAATGTGTTTTTTAAAAGCCTTTTCTTTGTTGTTATTTAAAATGGTTCTCAGATATTAACAGTGTTAGATTAACGTGCTTAGCCCATATTATCATATTTTCTCATTATAAATGTATGATGTGGAAATACTTCATTTCTTAGATGGAACCAAGAAACCTGGCAATAGTATTTGGTCCAACGCTCGTGAGGACATCTGATGATAACATGACACACATGGTTACGCACATGCCAGACCAATATAAAATTGTAGAAACACTCATCCAAAAAGTAAGTGGATGCATTTCATTATTAAAAAATAAGATCGTACACAGATCGACCAGCTGTTCTCTTATTAGGCCAGTTTGGGTCTGGTATTTATCCTTTGAACTCCAGGATATAATTTTTAGTAATGTCCATGTTTTTTGTTCCACCTTTTGGGTTTTGTGTTTCCTGTGGGGTTTTCACCTTTTTTATTTTAAATTGTAGCATGACTGGTTTTTCACAGAAGATGATGCTGACGAACCTCTTGTAAGTATTGTGTCATGAATATTTGTGTTATAATTATCTTAGTTTAGAATCTGCTTCTGCTCCCTCTAGAATGTCTATATATTTCTTATTACATCACTGTATGGTTTGCTCTTCAGAAGCACCTTTTTAGCTCTCTGGCCTTGCAGTAATGATTTTTTTTTTAAAAAAAAGCCATGCATTTGTTATAAAAGCATAAAGCAAAATGGGAAAATAAGAACATGTGAGGAAAGCGTGTCCTCAGGTGAATAATGCAATTTTCTAAATGCTATTGAATCATAATGAACTATTTATGAAACGATGATGAAGAGATCTTTGTTTATTAACTATAGACAACAGTTCAGGAGGAAAACACTGTAGAATCTCAGCCAGTGCCAAACATAGATCATTTACTCACCAACATTGGAAGAACGGGAGTATCTCCTGGAGACGTATCAGGTAACTCTTGCCCGGACAGCGTTAGTCCGTAGGCTAGAATAACCTACTCTGTTAACTCACTCTAACTCTCTCTTCCTATTTTCTTTTACTAATAAACTCTTTTTCTCTTTTCCAAAAGATCATTACACTTCTTAAAGATTTGAATTGTTGATAATCATGCATGATATAATTTGGAAAACTTTGTTGTCTAACAGGAATATAATCATTAAAAGATGAGGCTTGCACATACTATTTTATTTATTCACAGTAACCCATGCAATCATCATCGTGAGGTGAAGCAGATACGCTGCTGTAAAGTGGTTTGTTGTGATGGCAGAAAGACTGTTCTTAGTGGTGTTCTAATATTGCTCCTTCCTAACATTAGGAATGCAAAAAATTGAGTTATGTTTTCTTGTCAAGTGATGGGCATTCTAATAAGTATGTTGCAGTATGTCTATACTAAAGCTGATTTCCTTCTGTTTATAAATGCCATCCTCTTTTGTGGCTAAGGACAAGCATTGCAGGCTCTTTTTTGGTGACTTTT